CTTCCTTCTCTTTTTTCCTCTCCTCCTCTCCCTATTTTATTTTTAATATACATCTATATTATGTGTGAACAGTGTTGATTCTGAGCACCATTCATATTAATACAATTTACCATAATATTAGTATTCTTTATCACAATCAAATATAACCCTCTTTATATTATTTAAACCTTACATAAAAAGAAGATATCTAACATCTATTAACCCTTAATCTTTCTATCTATTATTTATTAATCCAATATTGATATTCTTTATCTCAATCAAATGTAAAAAATCTTTTTATATTATTTGAGCTCACATTAAGAGAGAGAAAAACGCCTAGGATCTATAAACCTTTAATCTTTCTATCATTTTTTTTAGCTCCATAAGAAAAAGAAAACAAATTTTCCCCTATCTAATTTATTTCTGCTTTTCCAACTTACAATCTAGCTTCCTTAATATTTAGGTAGTAATACTTTCTATCCCTCATCTCTTGCCCTCAATAGTGCTTCAATTCTTATGTTTTTTTATTCATTTTCCACACTCCTCATCTTTATCTTCATCTATATCTTCCTTATTTAATCTAAACATTTCTCTGATTACATTCTTGTATTGACATTTCTCCCACAAATCTGCCCATATCCCAGTCTCCTTATCCACTATATCTTCTTTTTTGCTCATTTGTTGATGTTATATGTGAAAATTTACCTTATACACCTAAGAATATAAAGAACCAGACTGGCTCCATATTTTTTCTTAATCTGACCTTCTAGAGATCAGAACATTTATGTAACTTGTTATTTTGCTAAAGTTCTGTAAGGTTGCAAAGTATTGTGTCCTTGGCTTGGTTTGAGATTCATAAGAGGTTGCCTTGACATTATACGGTTATTAATGATCTATTGTGTAATCTTTTAAGTGAAAAACAGGAACGTTGATGATAATGATGAAGATGAGGAAAGTTGGGGAATTTCCATGGAAGGAACATGGGAGGCGTTATGAAAAACACCCATATCTTTCTCATGAGAATCTCTATAACTTCTATGTGTGAAAAACAGGAAGTGTTATGGAATCTTTTAAATGTGATAATCCTATATAAGGATGTGATTACTGGAAGGGGGTGTCTGTTTTATTTTCTTCAATCTTTCTTCCTTTATCAGCTATTGTCAGTCCTATTTTTTGTCCCAGTCCTTGATATATCTGTTGGTTTGTCCAATTCCTCTGTTTTTTCCACTCCTTTTGCTTACCATTTATCTGATCTTCCTCTTCATTGGGTATTTGCTTCATTCACTCATTTTTCTGAACCATATTTGTTCCTTGTTCATATTCAATTTGCTGGTTTTTTTCATCTTGTCTTTCTATTTCTATTGCAGCACTGGTCAAAAGGGCCAGCAGAGATTATATTACCTGAGACTTCTCAGAAAACAACGAATGAAAAACTGCTGGTGACCTTGTACCGCTGCACCATAGAGAGCATTTTAACATACTGCACCTCTGTACAGTTTGCCAATTGCACAGTGGCAGATAGGAAAGCATTCCAGAGGGTTAATGTCATTGCCCAGAAGATCATTGGTTGCCCTCTCCCCTCTTTGGAAGAGCTTTATAGCTCTCACTGCCTTAAGAAAGTTCAAAACATTCTCAAAGATCCATCTCATCCTGGGAACCCTTTTTTTGAACTATTACCATCTGGCAGACAGTACAGAATAATACAAACAAGGACAAATAGGCTGAAAAACAGCTTCTATCCCAGGGCAGTAGCTCTTTTGAATTCTGCTGTTTAGTGCAGTGTTGGTGTGGTGTCAGGGGTTTCCGATTCAATGTGTGGAGGGTGAAGGATGTGTCTTTGTGTTTATTTTCATGGTCATGGTCATGATGTGTACTGAAGATGGTGTTTGATTTTGTTGTACAAGGTGCAATGATAATAAACTAAACTAAACTGACCTAAGCTAAAGTATTATTTCCACCATTTCAAGGGCAGTTTGATCTTTACTTATTGTTCTTTGTAAGATATTTTCCATTTTCTCATCCATGCCATCCATTAAGACTTTAATACTTTTGAAGATCAAGGTCACCTCTTGAAAAAGTCCACTCGTTTCTACAGCTGTTCCTTCAACTCTAGTCATAGTGATGATAACCATTCTACAATAAAAAATCTCTATCCAGATCCAAAGAAGTCCAGAGTAATAGGGGTATAGTTTGTCTTCCAATTGTCAATGGCGCTCTCCTCTCAAATTTCCATGCTGCCTTTTTTTCCAGCAGCTATTACTTACAATCAAAATCTATTTATTTCAAAACCAAGTCAATTATTTAGTTAAGCCAGGTCCAGCTCATACATTTGGATTGTCCAATAACCAGTTCCAGTCTTTAAAGCTAATCTAAAATCCAAAATTCAATGCTTTCAGAGGAAAACCTCTTATTTCTTCCTTACTCCAGTTTTTTTCCAGGGCTGAATCATTAGTTCAAAGTGCCAGTTAGCCATGAAAATTACTCTTTTGAATGTCCTTTTTTTCCTAAGATCGTCACGTTGGGGATAACTTTTAGTAAAAATCAAGCTTAATCTCACAGTCACGCACTGTTTCTCTACTCACTCCTGCTCTGCCTTTGTTGTTTCAGTTGCCTCAGCTGGGTGATGGCCATGATGGCTGCCACTGTTCCATGCTTTCGGGTTTAGAGAGTTTTCTCCAGGTCAAGCAGGAGAGTTGCTGCTCTCCACAACCCCCAGAGCATCCCTCTTTCCTTTGCCTCCCCTCCAGGGAGGCTTTGGCCCCGTTAGGAGCCCTCTGACAGGAGTACTCGGTGCAGGATTGCAGAGCAGCAATTCCTGCCACTGATACCCCTGCGACCGGAACCGGAAGCCCCCGGTTCAAGGTTCTTCATTGGGATGCCGTGCAATTGCCAATGATTGTTTTTTTTATTGGAGAAAGATATTGGAGGGTTTCACAAACAATAATAGTTATCTGCCTGGTTCTGGTTCTGTCATTGTACAATGGCCAACTGATTTCCTGAAATCCCCTTATAATTCAGGAATAACTTAGCTTTTTTAAGTCTCTGCCTATTTTTTTTGTCTGGTTGTAGTGACTTTTACTTCATTTCTATCTTGTATTATTTAATTTTGTTCTTGTGTTTTTGCAGCTTGGAATGCATACATAAATAAAATGTCTAATATATGATCTTAGGACAATAAATTTTAGCACTGTTCCAACTTCATACTTTATAATGATTGATGGAATAAGATTTTTTTCTTCAAATTCTGTTGTAATGAGATTTGATTCTAGAAAAAGAACTGTATTTCTAGAAAGAAACATTTTAATTAAGAAGAAAAGTCCCTTTGGTACTAAAGGATATTTTCCTTACAAAAATATTGAACATGTCTGTTACATCAAACTTTGTTCTAACTGTTCAAGATTGTGTTGCTATGCTATCAACTACCCCTCTCATATTAGAGAAGCATTTTCCTCATTTAGTTATACAAATTATTTGTGAGGATATCTCTATTTTCATAAGTGCTTTTTCCGTATGCTTTTTAAACTGAAAACTTTTTATTACTTGTGCCTTCAAGTCAGACTTGACTCCTAGTAACTGTCTGAACATGTGTATGTAGTTTTCTTTGTAAGATATCAGAAGTAGTTTGCCATTGCCTTCTTTTTAGAGCTGAGAGAGAATGACTAGCCAGGTCATCCAGCTGAGCGTTTTGCCTAAGGCAGGATAAGACAGTCTCCTGATTTCTAACCTAGTGCCTTAATCATTACACCCATCAAACAGATCCTCATCTGTCGATGTACTTAATAATTATTCCAATTAGTTTGTTGATGAGAATATCATGTTTTATCAAATGTGTTGTTGAAATGATTGAGTCCACAGCATTCCCACAATCATCTCTGGAAATGAGATTTATCAAAAACAAGGATTATTTTGATAAATCTATTCTGATCTCTAAAAAAAAACCCACTGCATTGTTAAGTTGCTTACAGTTTCCACTATGATCTATTTCATAATATGTTCAGATAATGTGAATATAAGAAGAAACCTGCTGATCATAGTCCAGCATTTATTTTTTACAAAGGACAAACAGATGCAGGAGATGAAGCTAAAAAAAATGTCAACATATAATATGATAATTTATTTAATATTGCCATCTGTTTTCTTCTGTGAATATTGATCTACCTCACATAGAAAAGAATAGAATCTGGAAAGGACCTTGGAGGTCTTCCAGTCCAGCTCCCTGTTCAAGCAGGAGAACCTACACTATTTCAGATAAGTGACTGTCTAGATTCTTCTGAAAAATCTCCGGTGATGGAGCACCCATGATTTCTGAAGGCAAGCTGTTCAACTGGTTAATTGTCCTCACTGTTAGGAAGGTTCTCCTTAATTCCAGGTTGCTTCTCTCTTTGATTAGTTTCGAACCATTGTTTCTTAGCCTGCCCTCTGGTGCTTTTTAGAATAATTTCAACCCTCCCCCCCTTCTTTGTGGCAGCGCCTCAAGTACTGGAATACTGCTATCATGTCACCCCTAATTCTTCTTTTCTTTAAACTAGCCAAACCCAAATCCTGCAGCTGTTCTTCATATGTTTTAGTCTCCAGGCCTTTGATCATGTTAGTTGCTCTTCTCTGAACTTTTTCCAAAGTCTCAACATCTTTTTTGTACTATGGTGACCAAAATTGGTTGCAATATTCCAGGTGTGGTCATGATTATATATACAACATGCTTAAAATTCAAGAATGCTAAGGATGTTGTTTGACACTGAATAGTCACATCCCTTTTTTTACAATTTCATCTCAAAGAAAACAGTTGTACTTTTGTATTATTATATTTGGATATGTTGATAGGGTTTATGTCAATCTGGTACATAATTTTGACCAACATTTCATTTTTACCCAATTGATAGATAATTTTATAAGAACTGTATTACTTCTCCAGCTATGACTAGGTATGCTACAAAGCCCATTTGAATATTTTTACTTTTTCTTAAAAGTATTCTTCAAGGTATAAAATTAATAATTTTTCTTTAAAGTTTTACGTGTTGCAGAACTGTGTCTGGATGGCACAATTACAGTAAGCTAGTCTCCTGAAAAAAAGTGCCATCTAATCTGCAAGAATGTTTAATGCTGCTTAGATATCACAATGGGAAGAGTATCTCAGCTTTAAGCTTTAAGCAGCTTATATGTATTATTTTTGGTTCCATTTCATTTTATTATGCATAAGAATATTTGCTTATATGCATATTTATATTCTGCATAGAAACCCTAAAAGAACATATGTATATATACACTTGTGTGGATGTTATATGAATGCCTGCAAAAATTAGGCAAGTGATTACCATGAAGATTAACTAATCCTTTCCTTTAAGAGTGGGAAAATGTACATTGGTTGGAAATGTTAGGAAAGAACCACAATTTTACAGTAACATTGACCCCTTAAATTTGAATTATTACTATTATTATCATTCAGGTGGATAACTGATTATTAGTTCAATAATTATATGTAGTACATTTGGGAGATGCTTATAACACTCTGGTATTTATGACAAGAAATATGTCTGGCCATTTCAGAATATAACACCACCACTCAATTTTAATAAAAAGGTATCTTAATGGGGTACTGTAACAAATTAAGAAAAAATTAATAGAACTGGAAATTAATATTATCTTACTATGTGAGAATTTGGACATAAAATCTGATTGGTATTGCAGCAATTATTTTCAACAACCAGATCCCTCTTTCTGTTTTCTATGGAGGAAAAGACTTTTCTGCAATTCTCTGTCTGAGCCTCAGAGTGCTGCTGTTGCCCAAGCTGATAGCCTGGGAGAGCATAGAGATTGAAAGGAGGCCTCCTAACTTGAGGAGCTCCCATTACTTCTGTGTAAGATAGAAGAAGATGAAAAGCAAAAGACCACACTGCTGCAAAGGGTGGTCTTTATAAATTTAGAGAAAAGGCAATTACTATTTCTTCTGATATTTCTTTCAAACCCAAGAGAATTTGGTCAGAACATAAGAAGCTGGGAAAAAGAAACGGCCTCATGTGGAAAAGACTGATGGAGAGAAGGCACAGAAGGAATCATAGGGCGCTCTCAAGGCAAGTACTGCTTCTCCTGATTTTGTCATCCATCCACCACACTGTTGCAGAACAAATTCATTATTCCATACCTGAGGAGATGTCGAAGGGTTCCATAGTAGGAAATCTTGCCAAGGAATTGGGATTAAAAGAAAAAGAATTAAAATACCATAAATTACATTCTGTATCTTTGGATAAAATGCAGTTTTTGATGATCAATGCAGACAATGGAAATCTTTATGTAAATGACAGGATAGATAGAGAAGGAATCTGTGGGAAAAGCGTTCCGTGTCTTGTTAACTTAGAAGCTGTGATGGAAAACCCTCGAAATGTTTTCCATATATCAGTGACAATCCAGGATATTAATGATAATGCACCCAAATTCCTCAAAGACAATATCCATTTGGAGACAAGTGAATTAACTTTGCCAGGTACAAGGTTTCTCATTGGAAAAGCAGAAGATCCAGATGTTGGCCTCAATTCTGTCCAGAATTACATACTGAGTCCAAATCAATACTTCTCCCTGGAAGTTAGAGAGAGAAAAGATGGACTTAAATATGCAGAACTGGTGCTGCAGAAACCCCTCGATCGGGAAAGTGAAAAAAGCTTTCACTTGATTCTTACCGCCCTGGATGGGGGTGAACCAAGGAAAACTGGGACTGCCCATATATGGATTAATGTCACTGATGCCAATGACAACCCACCCATTTTCACTCAAGATACATATACAGTTAATTTGAAAGAAAGTGTTCCAGTTGGATCCCTTGTGCTTCAGGTGGAAGCCTCTGATAAAGATGAAGGGACAAATGCCCAAATCACATATCATTTCACCAATTTATCACCTACTGCTGAACAAAAATTCAGATTGGATTCAATTAAAGGGACAATTTATCTCGCAGAGTTGCTGGACTTTGAAGAAACAGAAGAGTATACAATATCATTTGCAGCAAAGGATGGAGGTGGATTGGTGACACATTGCAATATTGAAATAAAAATTTCAGATGACAATGACAACATTCCAGAAATACAGTTAGCTTCTATGTTTAACCCAATTCCTGAAGACTCTGATTCTGGAAACTTAATTGCTCTTATAAATGTTAAAGACAGAGACATTGGTGATAATGGAAAGGTTATTTGCTACTTGCAAAGTGATTTGCCATTCAAGATTCTTCCATCTTCTAAAAATTATTACAAGCTCATGACAGATAAACCTCTAGATAGAGAGAAAGCATCTCAGTATAACATTACAATCACAGCCATTGACAAAGGAACTCCTCCATTGAGTGCAAACAAAACCATCGTGCTGCAGATCTCTGATATCAATGACAATGCTCCTGCTTTTGAGAAAGCTTCCTACAGCATCTACGTGCCAGAGAACAATCCTTCTGGTGCCTCCATCTTCCAGATTCAAGCCTTTGATCCAGATCTGGATCAAAACTCACACATCACATATTCAATCCTCACCAGCAACATTGAAGAACTTCCCATCTCCTCCTATATCTCCATTCATTCTGAGACCGGCATCATCTACGCCCAGCGATCCTTTGACTATGAGCAGTTCAGGGAATTCCAGCTGCAGGTGAAGGCCCAAGATGGCGGGAGTCCCCCTCTCAGCAGCAACGTCACAGTCAGAGTGTTTATCCTGGATCGGAATGACAACAGCCCCCAGATCCTGTCCCCTTCACCAGACTCCAAGGATTCTGCCCTCTTTGAGATGGTCCCTCGTTCAGCCGAGGCAGATTATCTAGTAACAAAGGTGGTGGCCGTGGATGCTGATTCCGGACACAACGCCTGGCTCTCCTACCAGCTGATTCAAGCCACAGAACCAGCCCTCTTCACTGTTGGCTCCCATACGGGTGAGATCAGGACAGCAAGAACTTTTATGGAGAGAGATGCTGTGAAACAGAGACTGGTCCTTCTGGTGAAGGATAATGGACAACCGACTCTCTCGGCCTCTGTCACTCTGAACCTGGTGTTTGCTGAGAACTTCCAGGAGGCCCTTCCGGAGATGAAAAACCAGATGAACAGCTCAGAGGATCAGTCGGACTTGCAGTTCTATTTGGTAGTGGCCTTAGCGGTGATGTCATTTTTATTCCTCTTGTCAGTGATTCTAGCCATTGCCATCAAACTGCGGCAGTCAGGAAATTCCAGTTTCTTACCATGTTTTGCTCCTGTTTCCCATTCCACAGCTGGGGTTATATTTCCACCCAATTTTGAAGATGGGACTCTGCCTTATTCCTACCAGCTGTGTCTCTCTTCAGAATCCAAGAAGAATGAATTTACTGTTCTGACACCCAATGTTCAAGTTGCAGGCAACATTCTTAGTGGTGAAAAATCCAATGCACTTTTCACAGGAACTGTAGAAAAGAATTTAATTTCCAAAATAATAGATAAGGTATGGTTTCTTCAATAATTTTTACAATCTGTTTTCATAACTATAATTGAAATACTTTCAAAACAATTCCCTTTTTTGCATTGCTTTTTCTTGAGTAGTACAAGAAATATAGAAAATATAGTTTATGTAAGTAATATTTTGCCCTACAATTCATTGTTTTAAATACCAGAGCAAATGGAGTTGTGGCTGGGTACCTTTTTAAGTACTGAACCTCTTTGTTACTCAGTGTTCTTTCTCAAATAAAACACTAAAATAGTGTTTGACATTTGCAAAATCAAATGATTTGGATATTCATATTAATTGTGAGAGGTAGCTATCCTGGGTATTTAACTGGTGCATTCCTAAAAGCAAATAGTTTGCCTTTAGGGACAGCTGCAGAGAAATGGGGTACAGTAGCAGATTTTTGAAGAAGGACTTTGTCTGAGGTGTAGAAGTATCTACACCTATGATGATTCACTTGTGTGTGTAGGTATGTTTATTCTTGTGAACATGCAGTTCCTCTGGGAGATTAATGTTCCTCTGGGAGAACATTAACATGAGTTAATGTTTGCAGACCTTATCCTTTGATATGTGGATTAAGTCTGGGTGACTTATTTCAGGGTTTGAGGAAGCTTGCTAGTTTGATTAACAGAGACACTGATTCTCAAACCATTGTGGATTCTGATAATATTTTAAGGGAAGGTGGAAACAGTATAAAGAATAATATATATTTGGAAATAAAACTTCTCACAACCTGAAATGGTCTTTTGTGGCAGGTGAAATGTGTAGGTTGCTACCTACCTGGATTATTTGATTCTCATGTCAAAAGTAATAATTATCATGTTATTTTGAAACCTTGTTCAACACACCTTAATTATTTTTTTCTGTCTGTGCACAAATTAAATCCTAGATTGTTAATTCTTTGCTAATTATTCCAGGAAGCTTCATATAATGCATTTGGTTGAAATATGCATATATTTTCATCAAATCTTTGCTAATTTTAACACTGACCTAATTTATAAATATTAGAAAAATTTAATATTTAACTTTTATACATTTAAGATATATGTATAGACCATGAAGAACTTGAAGGTGGGTTAGTCCTTGTATCTAAGTTGTCTAGAAAGTTTGATTTTGTAATACATTAGCATTGACATTTTTGTTTAGTGTTATGTCCGTTTCAATTGACTCACCACTTCCATATAATGGGGACATCTGAAACATGATGCATACTTCATGAACTTTGGTTCCCCAAGTGTTTGAAATCTACATACATTGTGCATTCCCCCCCCCCCTTTGGATCAGAGGTGTTGTCTAACTGCTTTTGTCTAGTTGAATTGTTTTGCTATATGCTTTTGAGAATTCAGTTATTCATTAATTTTTTATACTGCCCATCTCCCCTATAACATAATTCTGGGTGGTAAATGTCAGAAACAAACTTCCTTTAGCCTGAAAAGAAGGTAGTGTTACTGGTTACTTTCCCTGGAAGTATCATTAAAAGTAGCCATGTAAAGCAATCGAGATGGCCCCTTGGAGATCTGAGGCTTTGAGAATAGAGTTTGTTTATTTTTTTGGTTTTTAAACTGCGAAAGAACAAAATCTTGGAAGTGTAGTGTGGCTTTATGCCAGGTAGGAAATGTGCAGATGATATTGTTGCACTTTAAAAATATAGAGTAAATGGAGTGTTTATTGGGTACTTCAATACAGGTAGTCCTTGACTTGCAACAGTTCATTTAGTGACTTTACAGCACTGAAAAAAGTGGCTTATGACCTTTTTTCACACTTATGACTGTTACAGCATCCTCATTGTCATATGAACAAAATTCAGATGCTTGGTAACTGACTCATATTTATTATGATTGTACTCTCCTGGGATCATATGATCACCTTTTGCAAATTTCTGATGAGACAATGGGGAAGCCAGATTCACTTAGCAACCGTGTTATTAACTTAACAACTACAGTGAATCATTAACAGCTGTGGCAAGAACACTTGTAAAATGAGGCAAAACTCATTTAACCCAAATAAGTTGCAGTGAATGATAGATAGATTACATGATGCAGTTAAGAATATAAATTGTTGGACAATTGTTAAGTCTGAGTTATATGACAAGTGCCTGTCACTTGTTTGAACTCTAATGTCCTAGAGCAATTTAGTCTCTTCATTTTCTATGACTTCCTCTGTTTTATGGTCCCACCAGTTCTTGCTTCAAGCAAATTTCTTACAGAACTTCCAGGGTACTACTGTTGCTACTTTGTGGCATCTGGCCCATGGGCCACGAGTTTGACGCCCCAGTCTAATGTTTCTTCAGTTTCTTTGCACAGACAGCATTTGCTATCTGTTGCTGTCTTCTCAGTTCTGGCTTTGTATGCATTTGTTCTTAAGGCTTGGTCTTGTGCAGCCAGAATTAGCCCTCTGTCTTTTTCTTTAACTTTCCTGCTCCTAGGCCATTGGCAAGTTCTGCTTTTATCTATTTTCCCTGCTTTTTAAAAAATATACTGTATTCCCATGCCTCCTTTCTCTTCTTCATTTGATCTTTCTTGTAGGCAAGTTTGGTCTCTCCAGTACTCAATCTGCCTTTCTGGTATTATTAGCTTCAATGCATCTTCTTCATTAGAAGAAAATAAGAATTAGGGGTGACATGATAGCAGTATTCCAGGACTTGAGGGGCTGCCACAAAGAAGAGGGGGTCTAATTATTCTCCAAAGCTCCAGAGGGCAGGACAAGAAACAATGGTTGGAAACTAACCAAAGAGAGAAGCAACCTGGAATTAAGGAGAAACTTCCTCACAGTGAGGACAATTAACCAGTGGAAGAGCTTGCCTTCAGAAATCCTGGGCACTCCATCATTGGAGGCTTTTAAGAAGAGACTAGAAAAGTCACTTATCTGAAATAGTATAGGTTCTCCTGCTTGAAAGGGGGGGCTGGATTAGAAGACCCCCCTTCTATTCTATTCTATTCTATTCTCTTTATCTTGGTTGTATATATGGACAATGTTGAACAATGATTCTACAATATTTCAGATGGTGTTTTTCCAAATAGTTCAAAATAGTCCATGTAAAGGAGTTGGGATAGCCTGGTGGGAGTTTTGGATATTTGATAGCCAGGGTCTGAGTTATTCAGAATTGCTGACAAAGGAATCAGTGCAATGACAGTAGCATCATTAGTGACAGTAGTAGTGACAATAAGTCTCCTTGAAAGATTCCTCTCTTGATGTTAACCTCTCCCATTCTATCACTGTTGACCAACAACCATGTCTTCCATTGTGCCATGGATCTTTGCAAAAGCTTCTGGTGTTTCTATTGATTCCTGTTATTTCTAGGCACTTAATTATTCAATTATATGTGGCAGGGAGTCAAATGCCTTCCTGTGATCAATTCATGCTACTGTACATTCAGCTTGGTCTTCCTTCTCTTGCTGTTTTTCAGAATTATCTTGTCAATTAAATGTTGATCTTTTGTTCCTTTGCTGTTTGGGCAGTTTCCTTTCTGCTTGGGTGGAAAGAGCTTATTTTCATTAGATGCTGTTGGACTCCATCAGCTAGCACACCAGACAAATCTTATTTCATTATTTGAGAAAGTTACAAAATTAGTGGAGCAGAGAAATGCTGTGGATATAATTTACTTGGACTTCAGTAAGGCATTTGATAAAGTTGACCACAACCTACTTGATAAGATAGAAAAATGTGGGTTAGACAGCATTACCACCAGTTGGATTTGTAACTGGCTAACGAACCACAATAAATGAGTAGTCCTTAATGATACTGCATCTTCATGGAGGGAAGTATGGAATGGGGTACCCTAGACTCTTTCTTAGGCCCAGAACTCTTCAATATCTTCATCAATGACTGAGATGAGGAGATAGAAGGGGAACTCATCAAATTTGCAGATGACACCAAGCTGGCAGGAATACCCAATACCTCAAAATATAGGCTCAAGATCCAGAAGGGCCCTGGGCCCTATCTAACAAAATGAAATTCAATGTAGGGAAAACTAAGGTTTCAAATTCTTGTTATATTTCTTTGGGGTATCCCATATCTGTGCGCAAAAGTGTACTTTTTCTTCCTTGTTAGGTACTGACTGATTTACTGAAGTCTTTCCATTGATGGATTGGTAGAAACATTTCTAATTAGAATGAAATTGGATATTCAGCCTATAATTTGCAATTCGAATGTTGTATCTGCTGATTTTCTTGGTTATAGCTGTTATTTGCTGTTTTATTATTTCCAATGCTTCCTTGATCTTCCTTGTTTCTAAGTGGTGTTTCTTGGTTAGGTATTCTTTGATCATCTTATTCTTCAGATTCTTTTCTTTCATCTATTTTTGCTTGCTTGCATCTGATGTCAGCTTGCTGATTTTATTTTCCTACCTGATCTTCCATTTTGATAGTGCACTGTTTGACTTTTTATTTTCTCGATTGATTTTGCATCCCAGATATTCAGTTGTAACTGCAGCTGTGCTATACATTCGCTGGTTTGTTTCTTGCAGTGAACTAGTGCTTAAATTTGATATTGCATTACTGGCATCTTTTTATGCTTGTGCTAGTTGTTTCCAAGTTTCAATATAGAAAACCTGATTCTATTTATTTATTTATTTTTGCTGTTCTAGTGCTCAGTTATTGTTGTTATTGTATATTGTCTCAATTCTTTTATTTCTACTTTAAAGGACTTTGTTCTTTTTGAGGCAGAGGAGGAGGTGCTTGGTTTCCAAATGAAAACAATTATGTATCTTTGTTGGATTCTCCCCCCTCTCCCCCCCCCCCCAATTTGCCTTTACAGTCTGAACTACTTCTGGCAAGGTTTTGGTTTCTTTGCCTGGGGTATGCCTTTACAGTTCTTCCAATTCTGCCTCTGTGAATATTTTATTTCATATTATAAATCTATGTTGGTCTGCTACCTCTGTTCTGTTATTTCTGATTCTGGATGTTGTTCTTTGCAGAACTATTCTTTCTCCTACATTGTTGCTTTTGATAGGTTGGACTATTTTTTCTTTTGCATGAAGACAGATGCAAAAAATAAATTAA